CCCCCAAAACCCCAAAACCCCAAAACCCCAGAAGAGAGCTTAGGAGTTGAATAATATATTAAGTTTCTTTAAAGGGAAATTAGATCCTAGATTGAGTTGATTGCTTTTAATTTCATGTCATTTTTGAGATCCATGTTGTGATACTGACCTCTACTACGGGAAGGATGCCGCTCTTGGTACTTACTAAGATTGATGAATTCATAATCACGGAGGTTTTTAAATAACTTTAGGTCATTTCTTATAAATTTTGAATTCCATTTTCCTACTAGTTAAAAATGAAGAGTACTATGTGAAGGCAATGGGCTTGGGGTTATTATTTTCTTCCTTTTCTATACAGATAATCTTTCGGGTTACATTTTTTACAAAGATTTTAATAAAAGGATCAGAACTCTCATTATGAGAAAGTTCTTGAAAGGCGAAGCTTGTACGCTTCTTTTTATTAAACATGTTATTTTAATTTCTTATTGTTTATCTTCAATTTTGGCATTGTGACTTTTCGGATACTTTTCACAATATTTTGGGTTTTCAAGTTCTCAGTCTTTTTCTTTGCAGCTCTGTCTTTATTTACGTTTAGTTGTATGTAATGAGATCTGAGGAATTTCTACAGTGTTATACTAAAATTACTTCTGAGCTTCCTGCTTTTTAACCTGGCGGCATTGGATTTATTTAGTTGAAGAATCCCTGCTGATCTGGTTCTTTCAGTCTTTAAAGGGACTCTCTCCTTTATGTGAGAGTGTATAGTTATTTAATTGGTGGTGAGTAACTCTTATTGGGAGTATGCTGGTTACTCTTGAAGTTTATTGAGACTATACATAGTTATCTAACAAATCTCTACTAAAAGGCTCCCTGAAAGAGCTTGCTTTGGATGTATTGTGGTTTGAGGTATTATAAAAACTCTGCTTAGAATGAGTTTTCTTTATAGTTCTCTTCTTCTTTACTGAGGCATTTTTACGATTTTCCTCTAAATATAGTGAGGTTGTTTACTTTTGGCTTTAGCTCTCCAGCTATCTTTAGTTTTGGACTGAAGTCCTTTAGCTTTGATCATCATGGGAGTCTCTATCAAATCTTTACTGCACTCTTGAGTCACCATATCAACCATGGAGGGACTCAGTGTGTTATTTTTAGGACAGAGGATTTTCTTATTATTTAGATTTTAAAAACTTTGAATTGCCGTAAAAGATCTTGGAGTAAGGCTTCTGTTTCTGTTTAATAAAGCTAGTTGGACTGTGTGATATTGGAGAATAGTATGCCACAATACTCTTCTTATTTGGGATGCACCTTCCTCTTCTCTGGATAGGTGATAGAGTTTATCCTCTTTGAGACATACCTCTTCCTTTTGGTACTTTGGGAGTTTCTAATATGGGCTAACTTATTTCTGCTTCAAATTTTTAACCACTATAATTAAGAAGGTGAAGTACTGATGTTCTCCCAAGGTATCTCTTCGTAATTTTTGGTAGAAGGTGTTGCATTTAAAACCCTTGAATTGAAAGTAGTGAATGTATGTAGATTATCTGGTGACATATGAATAAACCTATTGTAAAATAATCTAAAATTACTCTCTCCTATTGGGGCTTAGGCTGTTAAAGTTAATAGTATCAAGGATTATACTCTTGCTATCTTTATTTCTAGCGTTATTGATCGGCCTGTAGTTTGAGTTACAGACTACCTACTTTAATTGTTCTGGCTCTTCAGCATTTTTATTTTTTGAAATATTTATCTTGACATCCATTTGGCAAATATTGTTGTTAATTTCTAATGCTGAGTGAATTAAGCATACTTTGAATTCATTGACTGATTCTTTTATTTCTGGCTTGTTCTCCTAAATAATTATTAGTACAACCATTATCGTACATCAAATTTAATGTTGATGTCTAATCGGTCATGAAAGTTAGAAACCAAAAGTTAGATGGGCTTAAGGCAATTGAATAACTTACGGCTGGAGATTACCCTTTGGGCCTTAGTTTCGGTAAGCTTTCGGCAGTATTCTTTCTCTTTCTGCCATAAGTTTGATTCTATGCTCAATTATTTATGGATGCTCAAGCTGGTATTAAGATAATTAGGATATAAAATCGGAAAGAAATATTTGAGACCAGCAGCTTTTTAACGAAGCGAAGACATCCAGAAATAATCTGGTTAAATTACCATCGCTAAATTCTGAAATCATGAATAATGGAAATGAGAAATAAATGTAATTCTATTATTTAATTTTTTTGGGGTTTTGGGGTTTTGGGGTTTTGGGGTTTTGGGGTTTTGGGG